TCCTATTTATATGGGAAATAGGTTGGGTTTTTATAGGACAATTTCTATTCACTTAGGTTTATGTTTGCTTTTATTCATCGTTAATTTTTTTTTCTCTCTGCTGTTGTCTTCAGTTCTGGCTTTGAGCTACTGACCGGTACCCTTATTCTCGTCCTTTATTCTGTCTCCAATTTTTGTTCCCAAAGTAACTTGGTCCTTTCCAGCCCCGTATAATTGCGCTCCCCAATCAAGTAGTATTTAAGCCCTTTCCTCTATCCGCGGTCTTCCCGCAGCTGAAATCAGCGCCGCACTCCTCCCCTCGCCCCCGGCCTTTTCCACCCAACACTTCCTGACCTGCGTTACCCAGCGCTCAGGATAAAGTTACCCCTAACCTGCCCTGGTTGCCTCATTAATTCCACTAAACTCATAAACGAGTGCATTTTGCTACTTCATTGCTACATGTCCTTGCTTTTCGAATCTTCACCGTGCCTCCCACCCACCAACCTCTCAAGCTGCGTTACCCGTCGTTCGGGGAACGTTACCCGTGACGGCTGTGATTTCTCATTGCCGGGGAAACGATGGCTGTGTTTTATAGGGTTGCGCAGGCCGAATTTTAGTAATCGCCAGTCCACGTCACCGGGCGAGTCGGTGATTAGTAGACTCAAACGGATACATATTGCAGGAGGGGAACTGGATTTTCGTAATTGCCTTGTCCCTTGCTTCTTTCCTGCTCCGATCCTGTGTGGGGTCAAAATCCTCGCCATATCGCCCGTTTCGCTACCAGCCAATCCCCGAAATCCACGCTACCCATCGCCTAGGGTAACATTCCCCATCATCAACAGTACTTTTCGCGATTCATACATCAACCGAAGCCGAGCCGAGCCGAGTTTTAAGACAATTGCCTTTTGTTTGTTGTCCCTTTCGTTGCGTGACCGTTCGTTTTCGTGGGTGTGTACGTGTGTGTATGTAGTGTGCTGTGCTTCATGTGGATGTTTGTGATTCTGTGTGATTCTATCGTTCATGTAAGTTGCGTACTTTTGGTCACTGGTTCACTTCCATCACGTAACTAACGTTCAACGATATAAATCTGGTACCATTGTATGAGAAACAGCTTGTTACTGCTTCTTCTAAAGCCGATTGAATCCAAAGCCGAGCCGAGTTTTAATAATTGTCCATCTCACTGATTGATTCTATCGGCGGTGTTGTGCTTGTCTCGAAAGCTATGCCATGCATTTCTAATCTCAAGCGTTCCTGAACTGGTGAAACCGCAAACGGCTCATCATAGCAGTAACAAGCTGTTTCTTACAACGCAGAACAGCTGGAGCGAAGAATGCTTGGCGTATCTCTCCGTCAGATGAATGGCATGTAGGACATCACTACGACCATGCAAGAAAGTAAAATCCGATGGGCGGGGCATGTTGCTCGCATTGCCGATAACTGGCAGATAAATGCGCATGAATGAGTAATATCCACGAGAAAGTAAACGACCATTTGGGCGACCTAACCATACGCATTGCAGGCGGTGGGTACTAACTGGAGGCATGCAGCTCAGAATCGAAGGATCTGGCTCTGGGTTGTGCTAGACTTGTGGGAGCATCCGCGAGTAACATCAGTAGCATAGAGGATACCTGCACAGCGAAGGCGATCTTGTTATTCGTAGTGTAATATGTTGCCAGAGAAGCTAGAAAGCTGAAATTTTAAGGGGATGTTTTCTGACAGTCCTGGTGGCTAGTCTTAATTTGTTTAGCTAGAAGCATTTGCCGAAAAAACTGGTTCCGGTAGCACCAGCGCGAACAATTGCTAGTAGTTCTGGCGATAATACATCCTCAAAGAAGAGGTGGGCACACACACACGTACATCGAACAGGCGGTTGGTACAAACTAGAGATATACAGCTTAGAATCGAAAGGCCTCGCATAACTGGCGCCTGGCGTACGAAAAATGCATCTCAGTAACATCAGTGGCATGGAATCTCCGCACCAATTGTACTGAATGTATTTGATGTAAATCTCAATTACCGCAGGGGCCAGTGAAATATGGATGTACGCGTATATCACGATAAGGTGCACTAAGAGCAATCTGTTTGTTTGCAGGTAAATTGTGGTTGTGATTCGAAAAAAAAGAACGAAGAAACTTCTCTGGATAGCTGAGAAACTGGCAAGCAAATGGCGAATTTGAACTTTAATCCGTTCGCCGATCCATTCGCGGTAATAATCGTTAAAAGAAAAAAATCAGCCCAGTAAAGATGGTGTTGTTTCATCTCCTAAAAATCCTTACGTTTATAAATTCTCTAGCATTTTATAGTCAAAAAACCCTCTTCTGTAATCGTTCTTAGTAAGAGGTGAAAGCACTTGGAAAATAGCGCCAGTAGCAGCAAATGCCAACAGCAACCATCCTTTGGCAAGACTCTTGCTCGTTCTCCTTCGAGGGTTACTTACTAGCAAGCTGATGGCGGATTTGACTCCCTGGCATTTACCACAGGGGATATCATCAGTGTTATTACAATCGAAATGAATGAACGAATCTTTGTAAGGGATTGTTGGTTTTCTCACCGGCCGAGCCGAACCTTCGACCTACTGCTTTCTCTTTGAGTCATGCATGCTAGGCAACATTTTACAAGGAAATAGTTTTCATATGCATTTATAAAAGCCGATTGTAGCGTCCAGATTGATCTTGGATGTCAAAGTGAGGAAGGTGTATAAGACAGAAAGAACGAATTGGGTAAGACGTTTCGGTCCATTAAGTCATATACGTCTTAGCTCAACACCACGACTGGACCTTGTCAGTAAAAAAAAAAAATTTCAGCAGAGGCCTCCACCACAATAGCACTGAGAATGCCGAAACATCATTCCGGAAATGCAGCATTATCAGGAGCAGCGTTGAATGATGTTTGAGGATGTTCCGTAAAAAGTTAATGGAAATGCCCGAGGCAACAGGTTTTGGATGTTCAAGAGGTCGCATGAGAAATGCTGAGAAGCACTTCTGAGACATTACCAAGGACGTCCTGCAAAATTAAGAATAACTGAAAAAACATTAGAGGAAATGCGGGAAGATTCTGCCTAAGAAGGCGTCCAGGAGATGCTAGGGGCATTTAACAATAAAATTTGAAAACGTGCAAAGAGATTCGGCGAAGGCAACAAATAAGGATGTTTGCTGAATAAGTTTCGGATGATTTTTTTTTTTTTTTTGGGGGGGGGGGGGGGGGGGGGGGGGGG